GTAGGAAGGTATCCTCTGCAGAAGCAGTTGTATTCCTGCTCTTCTGATTGTAATGACAGGATGTTCCCGTGGTGTTTGAAGGGTTAAATGTCAACTCTTCAAACTTCCACTGGTACTATTTTCATGACAGCTTGCCATACCCATGGGACCCATTGACATGTGCACACACACACACACACACACACACACACACACACACACACACACACACACACACACACACACACACACACACACACACACACACACACACACACACACACACACACACACACACACACACACACACACACACACACACACACACACACACACACACACACACAGTTTATAAATCTATCATAGGTTCACATGACAGAGGAGAATGTAAAGCACACCCTATGTGAGTGTGTGTGTGTGTGTTTGTGTGTGTGTGTGTGTGTGTGTGTGTGTGTGTGTGTGTGTGTGTGTGTGTGTGAAAAAGAGATGGGTGTGCATTCAGGGGTACTGGGACTTGGCAGTGGCATCGCAAAACATTCCCTTCTCTCTTTCTCTCTCACACACACACTCCTTTATCATCAGGTTCCCACAGACCGGTACTTTGTATTTCCATGTGTGAGTACATAGTTTCATGATTCGAGGCCTCATATATGTATAGGTTGCATGTGGGCGGTTGTTTTTGAGATTAACAGAGCTTGAGGTACGGCGCTTGTTAAGTGGGAGGGTCACGGCAGCGACATCACCTCTCAAACATCCTCATCCTCTGATGTAAGATGTGTATGTTGCCAAGAAGGTCACTCATCCTTGTTCTTGTACATTAACAGATAACAACAGGGACAGAGTAAAGAGATGACCCAATTTCTTTCTCTTGCAGTGTGCTTTTGTTTACCGAAATTCATCAACTCCACCAGGGAAGTTATATTTTCAGTTGGGATTGTTTTTCAACAGGATAAGGAAAAAATATATGGCTAAGTTTTTATGAAACTTGGTGGAAGGGTATAGCCTGGATTAAGAAATAACCCATGGAATGTTCAAGTGGGTCAAAATCACGGGGCAGATACACACGGAGGCCCAAGCTTTTTAGTGCCCAAATAGTTTTGAATTTCCTCACTCATAATGCATCAGAGACCAGTTTGTGTCTGCTGAGTTATCAGCTTAGCTATCAAATTCACTATGTGAAGAAACATGCATTTCATCACAGGACACTACAGGTAACGGCATTGAGATATTTAGTTTTGCTCCCTATTTTTGCCTCAGTTTCCTTGCTTTGTAATTATAACTAGTGTGTCTAATATCTTGACAAACCTATTTATTAAACTCAGTGACCTGGTTCACAAACTACATTCCAGTTTAACACCATGTCCTCACTCAATGCAACGGTGGGGGCATCCATTTAAATGCACTGTTTTTCTAACCACTGTGCCGCTTTGACCTGAGCTTTTGACAGGCGGCTTGTTTATATTTTTCCTGTGGCTCACATTAAAACGCCAAATTGGACAAGGAAGGGCTGATTGTGAAGTTGAGATGACGAAACAAAGACTTTTTGACCGCAGCAAGTTCCCCTACTGAGAGGCCACAATGCTACTGATTGAGCCACCATGCTGCCCTTGATTAAGAAGAACTACAAATGCTTTTTAGCAAAACACAGAGTTACATTTCTCAAGTGTATTAGGTTTAAACCTAAAAGCTTTAGGAGGCATTTACTGTGTGAACAAACTAGACCTTTACGCCAGTCATCACGACAAGCTCCTTTAAGAGACACTTAACACATTTAGGGATGGATAGCATCTGACCTACATCTGGAATTTCACACACGATATTATTTTTAAATATCATGTCGAGTTCACTTTCTGCCGCGCCCATTGACGTTGTTGGACAGTATACTGTAAACATCATGGTATTGATTTCTTCTTTGGTGTAGATTTGTAATATATAGCGTAGCAAACAGTCCTGTGTTACTACCATGTCAATTAGTAATCATCCCAACCAACCCCATTTTTCAAATGTGTAGTTGCAACTGTGGCAACAAAACCCACAGTGTCCCACCTCCTGTCTGAACATTGTCGTTTTTTTGCAATATTTATGGTCTGTCAGCTCAGTGGCTTGTTTCATACATTTGACCACTTTTTCAAAACCACCCTTGCCCAGAAGTTATGAGTTCCTCAAACTTCTGGGGATAGGGAGCAGGTGTTTAGTGCGAGGTTGGCGGGGGAAGATGAAGTTGAGCTGTCCATGGATGTATTTATTGTCTCACAGACTGCTGGAATTGAAATGGGGAAAAGAGAAATAATGGATGGATAGAAGGAAGGAGGTTTTGTTATGCTACCTTACACAGTTCAGTTCAAAGTGTGGTTCTTCAGATTGCTTTACAAGTGGATTTATCCATTTATCCAGTTATACGTTTTAAATCTTTCAAAAGTTGAAAACCATTCTAAAGGTATGTTACCTAACTACATCATGACTTAAAAATAAAATACAAACAAAATGTAGTGATTTGTTTATGAAATGTATTTACTAATGACTTCTTTTCATGAAATGATCGTGTAGGGTGGGTGAGTGTAACATGCAAAAACACTGGTTTGGTCTTTGTAGAGTTGCTGGATGTTACTCAGACGCTTTAACATTTAATAACAATGTTTGTAGATAACTTGTCTATGCATTAATTATGTCTCCCAATATAAAATTATTGATCATGACACAATCAGTCCCTGAGAAACTCTGGGCTGAACTGAACAGCAGTGCCAGTCTGTTCAGTTAAGCAGAGCATGGGTTTTGAAATGTGTCATATATTTTACATTTTTAAAAGCTTTTCAAAGGAACACGTCTGAGGAAGGATTGGAAGACACTTCAAACACACAGTGATCCAACCAGTTTTTCTGCATGTGACTGGTCATTTCACACTAAAAGCACTACTCTATTTCTTCTTCTCTGTAGGGTTTGATCCTTTATTTCCAGTGATCAGTCCTCTCTACATCTCCCTCCTGCATTAAAGCAGGTTTCCATTATCTCCTCTTTCTGTCATATGAGTCTTACTAGTACAAAACGTAACATATTAAGAAGGCCTTTTAAACGCAAGGTAAATATATCAGACTATATATACAAGGTTGAGTAGGCAGCATGTATTAAGACTAGATACAAAATGTACTTAAACATAAATTATTTGTGTAGTCAATAATACAAATGAACAAACATGTGTCCTAACATTTAGCTTGCATGCCAGTAGAACCCAACAGCAGACTAATTCCAGATGGATTAATGGTCAAAGAAACAGTTCGGAATTAATAACACACTTCTATTCATTATTTTGTTGCAGAGTTGGCTAAAGGGATCAACACCTTTGCATTTGTACCCACCAGAGTCCCATCCATCCATCCCAAGACTACTGAAATTGGAACTTTGGAGCTTTTGGAATCATCTTTACTTCTTTAGTTTATATCAACAAAATAAAAAAGGACCAAATCAATGCCAGTTTTACTTTCAGAAATGGACTACTTCTGGTCATGGCTGACCTCACTTCCCTTATGGAGAATAAACACTTTCAGTTCCCAATAAATGATCTTAAAATGCATGTTCAGTCCCTTTGCCCAACATGTTCTCACCATTACCTACACAATTTAGACACACACACACACACACAACACACACACACACACACACACACACACACACACACACACACACACACACACACACACACACACACACACACACACACACACACACACAACACACACACACACACACACACACACACACACACACACAACACACACACACACACACACACACACACACACACACACAGAGTGAAGAACTCTAAAACATGTAATGACCTGCCACAGTTGAGGAATGTAATGCAAGACTGAGCCAGGAAAAAAGCTTTTCATTCAGGGTCCCTTTTCACACAAAATAAAATACCTTAGGGAATGTATTTGCATGTCACTGAAAGAAGTATCCACTGTGTGCACATGAGCACCACTCTGGACATTTGTTAGCACACACACACACACACTCACAAACTCTCTCACACACAGTTTTCTCTGATTGCTAATTGATTTGGCTCTTGTCCAGGCCCCTCAAAATGAAAAGCTAAAACTCCAAGTCAATACGGCCCTCCCTTACTCTCTCAATGAAAAAGATGGTTAGTGAGTGTGCATGTTCATGCGGTTTTGTGTGTCGAAATTTCATTAGTACAACATTTGTCATTTTTTGTGTTTAAGGTCTTACAATTGGCACAAATGCAGCTTCCTGTCCGCCCCAGTGGTAAACCGTGACCTTGAGAGTGGTTTGTGTTTTTCTTTCATGATGCAACAATTGCTACGTGCAGACATTTAGTGTCCCGCTGAGACAGGTTCAATAGCGATCTGAACAGAAGGGAAACAGTGATGAACACAAAGAGGTGGGAAAAATGCTAGTAAACTATAGTAAACAATGTCAAGAGTTATGAATGTGTTTGAAGTCTAAACTCTTCACCCTCAATTACAGGAATGTGTCCATCCATTATTGTGTGTGTTTGTTTGTTTGTTTGTTTGTTTGTGTGTGTGTGTGTGTGTGTGTGTGTTTGTTTGTTTGTGTGTTGGAGAGGAAAGTTGCCAGCTCATTACCTAGGAGTCAAGTAAACAATGTCAGAGTTACGACTGTGTTAAACGCTGCCTACAATTCAATAACTCTAAAGTTATTTGGCTAAAGACGTGTGAATTCTTCCTGCTGAGCTGATCAATAAAACTCTTCCCAAATTATGGTAAATTGTCACTAATATACAGTAGACTAGTACACCACATTTCAACTTAGCCGCCCCGTATAAAATATATACAGTAGTACTGAATAATGTGTGTCACAGCATTTGAAATCTGAAAGTACAAGAAGAGAATAATATTGTATTACTAGGAACCAGTGTTATTAACAAACAATGTAAATGTAATTTACATTTAAATGACTTAAATTAAAACCCAGGCTTTTTCTGTTGATTTGTATCTGCTGCTGAGCAATGAATAACAAACAAGTGAAGACAAAAAATCATGTCACTTTTGTTAAATACATGATTTATGTGCACCGTTTTGAATTAAAAACTAGGCTTTATCATTCTGAGTGACAGTACAGTAGCTGCCGAAGGCATCAGAGTAGTCTACATATCAAAGCAACCTTTACTCAAGGAGCTTCTCTCCACTTGAGGTTATAAGTAAGTGCTGGCTTCGTGGCTGAACTAAAGTGTTACAATGCTTTTTCCTATATTTTAATAGCAACAAAACAGATGGTTATTCTTCTACAGACTGGTGGGATTACAATATGTAAATCATTGTTCACAGTTTGTGGGTAAATGATTATTGAAAATATGCTGATATAAAGTAGAGAAACAGAAAAGTACAGAATAACATAAAAGTAGCCACAATAGAAGTCACATTGTTGCTCAATCCTGTGATCTCTATAATGAATTTCTTTCCAAATTAAAATGGCACGAGGAATGTCCCGGCAGTCAGCCATGTCACAGACAGTGCAGTGTACAGATTTCATAACATCCCAAAACAAGAAAACAAAAAGAAAACCCTGCACTGGCTAAAACAATTATTGAGATTCCTATCATGGCCACCTTGCTATAAAAAGACAAATAACACTTGATGATCTGATAAGGGGCATAAGGGGCACAGTTTGATTGAGTATACATTTTTTAAATAGGAATATTAGAAGTATGATGGCAGATGTTTGCTTGGAGGAAGCACATGACTGCAGTTTCTCAGTTAACAGGCAAATAAGATCAAAGGTAACATAACCACCCACCAGCACCTCTAAAGCTCACTAATTACCCAGCTATCTGTTTTCCTCTGTTACCACTCAAGGCATATTGAGAATAGTTTGACTTAAAAACAATATATAGATTAATACACAAATAATCCCTCTCAATCATCGATTATGACCTACTAAAACTGTTTGGTGGTGTTGGTGTCGCCATGACTTTGCCCTCTGCTTCTATTTCTTATTTTATTGTGTTGGTGAAATGCCAAGCTGACAAAGCTGGTTCTAAAACAAGAGAGAATCTGGGGTTGTTTTTAGCCTCTGGCAAGCAGCAACAGCCCCTCTTTGAGCCCGGCAGGAGGGCCAATTTGAATGTTTACAAACCGCAAATGACAAATCCTACTCATCCTCTCAATCCTGTGCCTTCAATCAAAGCTAATCGGTTACTGGCTGTAGCTCATCTGACTCTCTGCGAGAAAGTGAAAAAGTGTATTTCCCTAAAAGATCAAAGTATTGCTTTAAATTGTCGGTTTTAAATGTGTTTGCCAAAGATCTCAATGCTTACATATATTATATTTAATCTTAACTATAGCCAATTATCTTCCTTTTTATTAATTGAATACATTAGAACTGACTTCAGACCACCGTCAGATCAAACTATATTAACATTAACATATTAACAGAATAATGTGACATTTTGAATTTGAGTCAGCTGTCACATTGTGGGAGACTGTGTGGGAAACTGTGCCCGCCAGTTCCAATGATGAATGCTGACACAGCTAACAAGACATTTCAGGGGACACTAACAAAGACGAATGCATGAAGTTTTTCCAGTGTGTCAAATGTTTGGTGAAGAAAAATGACCGAATGAAAGTCATAATGTGCTTTCAGAGCTAATGGTGAATACATTATATAATTGGTTAATGGAAGGCAGTTTGATATTACATTTTGATTGAATTAAAAGTTAATTAATCTCAACCATGTTGCACGTGTCCAGTCCTTCCAATGATGCACGTGACAGTAATGCCCAATGTCTGTATATATCATCCCTTTGATTCTAGTTCAGTCCATGTCTTCTTCTGTGGTTCTTCAGTCATCACTCCAGTCCATGCAGCCCTTAAAGGAAGGGGTTTCCCCCCAAAAGAAATCTGTCCAATTCCCTCCAAAAATCCTCGATTGGTTTCTCCAGTGTTTCATTGACATGGACTCCAAAATAAAGTTACATTTCCAGATAGAAGTTACATTCATTCAGCTTGGGTCCCCGACTGAAGGAGTTTGATGTGGTGATCAACTGCATGCAGGCTGCAGAGAGGTGGAGAAACAAGGTAGATTTCTGTTTTCCAAGGAGATGTCCCTTCAGAGGGGTCAGGCCACCAGACCCAGGCGGGAGATCTTAGCAGAGAGGAAGGAGTGGAGGATGAAGACCATCGGCTTCGGACATGAGTGGAGATCCAGCTGCTGGAGGAGAAATTGAAAAGAACAGAATTTACTACGTAGTAGATCTAGACAGAATAAAGCAATGCACTTGTGAGAAGTAAAAGAAAGAATATGACTGAAAGATGTGAGAATGTATTAGAGCAGAAGGGATGACACAGAGGGGAAGACACAGGGGAGGGAAATAAAAGAGAAAAAGTTATTGTTAGGCACATAAAATCATAAAAGTATGCAAAAAATTAGCTTCACAGGAAACAGGTCCCCATGAGGCAAGGATTAGACAGACCTAGCTTGAGCTCAGCACTTCACACACACTAACATCACTGTGAACAACGCTCTGTTCATAGCCTGAATCAACAGCAGTGTGACTCATTTCCTGTTCACCTTTAGGAAAATGTAACCTGTACATTTACACTAAGACTACTGTTTAGTTGGTCATATTTAACACAGTGGACATTTTAGCACGATGTGTCCCAGAGGATACAAATACTTTTAATGCACATTTATACTTCAACTTGTGTTTTCAAATATATATTTTGTATTCTAATAACTGTCACGAAACCTAATTACCTCCTGGAGTAAAACCTTGAATGATTGATTATGAGTAGTGGTTTAGCCATTGCATCAGTTGATCCAACACATTAGTCCAGACTAAGATATTTCCACTGGGATGGTTTGCTATTTCATTTAATTTCAAACCTTTATTTATCCAGGTGTATCCCATTGAGATCATTGATCTCTTTTTCAAGGGAGACCTGCTCAAGTAGGTTCCACATGAAACATAAAAACATAAACAGAACAACAAAAAGGACATAATACAGCATCATTACAGGGATTACAATTTACATAACTATCCACATGAACAGGTACCAACAGCATCCGATTGAGTAGCATCCAACTGAGCTTTAAAAACATTTAGTGGCACCAGATTGCTCAGTTTCCATTTCAATTGCAGACTATTCCAAGACAGAGGAGCTGCGCATCTAAAAGCTATCTTCCCTAAGACAGTCCTAGCAGTTGGCACATTTAATAAAACCACAGCATGCGATCTCAGGCTTACAATTCGCCGTGAGATCAGGGAGCAGATATAGGATGGAAGTTTCCCTAACATGGCTTTGTATATAAAAATGTACCAGTGACTGAGCCTCCGTACAGTTAGTGAAGGCAAACCAGCCCTTGCATACAGGGTACAGTGATGGGTTAATACGTTACAGTTTGTCACAAATCTCAGTGCACTGTGATACGCAGCATCTAACTTGATCAGGTAATTGGCAGGTGCATTCATATAAAACAAATCACCATAGTCCAGCACAGGTAAAAAGGTCACAGTGACTAGCCTTGTCCTGGCCTCAAGCGAGAAACAGGACTTGTTCCTGTAAAAGAAACCTAGCCTAACCCTCAGCTTTTTAAGCAGGTTATTGACATGAAGTTTAAAAGAGACACAATCATCAAGCCAGATACCAAGGTATTTGTAACAGGTAACCACTTCAAGTTTTATTCCTTGCGTAGTTACAATATCTAAAACAGGCTCTGGTGTCTTTTTAGCTTTTGAAAAGAGCATTACCTTGGTTTTATCAACATTTAAAAGAAGCTTAAGTTCAGAGAGCTGAGTCTGAATACTGTTAAAAACAGCTTGCAATTCAACAACAGCCTCCTTAATGGAGGGACCTGCACAATACATCACGGTATCATCCGCATAAAAATGTAAGGTTGCTCCATCGACATTTTCACCTAAATTGATGTAGATGGAGAATAAAAGTGGACCTAAAACAGAACCTTGTGGTCCACCATTTGTAATGTTTAACCACTCAGAAGACAGACCATCAAAATGAACACATTGGGACCTTTCAGAGAGGTAGTTCACAAACCACCCTACTGCATGGCTGGATATGCCAATACTGACCAGCCTCTGCTTCAAGATGCGATGATCGATGGTATCAAACGCTTTGGACAGGTCAACAAATAGAGCTGCACAACTCTGCTTATTATCTAAAATACTCGCCATATCATTCACCACTTTCATTGTCGCAGTGATGGTGCTATGTTGCTTTCTGAAGCCTGACTGTACATAAAAACTCCTTTACCTGTTCACTCATTAGGCTTTCAAGAACCTTGGCCAGAACTGACAATTTAGAGATAGGTCTATAATTATTTAATAAAGGCAGGACATAAGCTGACTTCCATACTTTTGGAATTGTGTTTGTGCTGAGGGAGTGGTTAAAAAGAGTAGTGAGAGGTGGAGCAATAAAATCTGCAGCTATCTTTAAAAAGAAAGGTTCTACGTTGTCCGGGCCAGCCGGTTTCTTAGGATCTAACTTGGTTAAGGCTTCACGAACAACATCAATAGTAAAAGGAGTAAAACTGAAAGGGTTTTCCAAACCACGTTTTTCAGAGTGACGGACTGTGGTGTTCACAGAAGCAGAGTTAGTGACAGAATCAAACAGAGAGCCACAGGACACAAAATGCTCATTAAAACAATTTAACATAGTAGCCCTGTCCGATATAGTGCCAGATGCTGTGGTAAGGCACGGAGGTAGCTCATTGCGGATTTCACCGGTGGATATCGATTTTATGGCTTTCCAACATTTTCCAGGATTATTCAGGTTCTTTGTGGTAACTGACAGATAATACTTAGACTTAGCACTTTTTATTTGTGATGTGAAGCCATTTCTTAGCTGCCTAAAGCGTAGCCATTCTACCTCTGAGCCTGATTTCCTAGCCTTTGCCCAGGCCTTGTTTCTCTCATGCAGGAGACTTGACTGTTCAGCAGAAAACCAAGGATTGTCTCGTCCCTTCACTCTAAATTTACGCAGGGGTGCATGTCTATCTATAATTTCCATAAAACCAAGATAAAAATAAGACCATTCAGTTTCAACATCATCACACAGATCGATTCTTTCCCAATCAAAACCAAACAGATCATGAACAAAACCCTGCTCCACAAAATGTTTTGTGTCTCTCTTACTGATAATGCAAGGTTTACCCTTTTGGACTTTTGTGTCCCTAATTGTGGCTACAACACAGTGATCACTCAAATCGTTAGCAAATACTCCCACAGATGAGTATTTATGGGGAACATTAGTTAAAACTAGAGAATGCAATTCTTGAAGAAATTGCTAGTGGGAATGCTTTATGCTGAAAAGCTGACGCTGAATTGCTATGCTGAAATGTAATGTGTAAGAAGAAAGTGAAGAATTTAGATGATCTGTCGCCATGGCAACGGCATTTGAAGAAACCCCATAATTGACGTAGAGCTGTTGAGGACTGGACCGGTGATATACAAGCGAAGTTTGGGGGACGATCGGACCGTGTCCATTGGACTTACAGCGACATCGTGCTTCATGGCGAGTGGTCTGTCGCCATGGCAACGGCATTTGATGACACCCCATAATACGCTTAGATGCGTTGATGGCTGCATCGTTACCAAACCAGTCGATTTGACATCATCGTGTTCCATGACACAGGTGTTTATATTTGAGCTAACGACGACAGCTGTGTGTCACCAATAATGTATAAAATAGGTGGAACATGTTGAAGTCAGTATGAAGTCTCCATCAGACAGAAAAGAATAGGCTCAGACAGTCTGTTAAACTCCAGTGACCACGTCATTAGCTCAAACACGAACACCTGTGTGTTATGACATCATCGTGTTCCATGACACAGGTGTTTATATTTGAGCTAACGAGGTGTGCAGAGATCAAAGGTTTCCATTGTTCTGAATGAGAGATAAACCTCTTACATGTGAACGTTTTGTCGAAGAACCGTAACAGATATCTGTGAAATTTCAAAACGTGAAGCATGTCAAGGAACTTGAGCATCTGAAGTGTCATTTTTGTGTACTTTCGGGTTAATAATGTGGCCTTTTTGGCAGTTTAACTAAAGGTGTGCGGCTGCTACCGTGAGGAAATATCAACCTGAAATTACAATGGGCTTTAATGGAGGCATGTTGAAAGTTTTTGTCACTTCATGCCCTCAAGAGGCATTTTGTTTAATTATTTTTGCTTAATTATTTGTCATTTTTCAAGCTACGAGATGTTTTCCTACGTTTGTCATGAAAAATGATGTCTCAGGAATGTAGGGTTTGGGAATTATGGCAGTTTTAAAAAAATATATGAAGGCAAATTTCAAGATTTCCTCCACTCTAGCTGTGACATCACGCACTCTAGTTAATGTTAAAATCTGAAGAAAGCCTCTTTACCAAGGTCTGAACAATGTTTAATATCTCTAAAAGTAAGAATCAGATTTAAAAGTTGTGTTACACGAATAATGTCAGAAAGATGTGTAATATTTTAAAGTTGGAATGAGGTTTCTGAGTGAAAGTATGAATGAACAGTTAGCAGTTGAAGTCGCATGAAGATTTGTTGAAGTCTGAAGAATTTCTCCATTGACTTCAATGGTTCAAAATGTGATGTATTATGGGATGTATCTCTGGAATTATGAAAGTTATGAATGATAAAAGTAATAGCCATCGATTCCCGACCGAGCTGAACGTTTTGATGTTTGATGTTTGATTATTTCTGCGATGTTGAATGTGGGAGGAGAAGAGGGCCAAAATAAGCCGGCGGAATAATAAACTTTTTGTCCGTAGCATAACATATAGTGGGAATGCTGTTATCAGCATTCCCACTAAATGAGATCAATTAAGGAGGATTTATTTGGGAACTTAATGTTAGGGCGAGTAGGACTGTCAACAATCTGAGTAACATTCAATGAGATACAAAGGTTTTTATCTATAAATGCTATGGATTTTTATACAGATAACCATGGTGGGCAAAGATTCTAAATAACTTTCGTTATCCCCTACCTTTTCAACTAAAACCGCCAGCAATTTGTGTATATTGGCTAACATTTTTCCAACTGATCAACCACGACTAGGTGGATTGTGAATTCTACTTCTCATCTAGTACTATCCTCAAGTCAAAATGTCAATTTGTTCAACACCCTCGTCTATGACTGACTATCTATAAAAAAAAAAGGAATTATGTTCAGCCTCAGTTGTAAATTGTGTTTAGTGCGAATAAGCATATATTAGGATGCAAACACGCTAAACTGGAAGGTAATAAAAAGTTAATATTGTATCTGCCTAACATTGGTATGTTAGAGATGACATTGAGAGCTTGTTAGAATTGCTGACTCGCAGTGTAGCACAATGCACTTCTGTGTTTAGGAGCTACTAGAGTCCCTGTTATTTTATAAACCATTTTCTGTATCTTTGAATTGCTGTGACAAAATTAGATATACACAGTCCCTGCCAACTAATGACAGTATAGTCAACACTTTGAGAAAAAAGCCCAGCTGATTCCGCTTTCAAATGTTGGCTAATGAGCCCTCAGCCACATCCGCAAGGTGTCTTGGGATTTTTATAAAGCCTCGTCTATGACTGTGTTGTGATTCAGAAAGGCTACAGACACCAAAATCTGTTCTGCTAAGGTAGCCAACAGAGGGTTCTGAATCAAAGCTCCAAAGTCTCTGCTTATTTGTCTTCGGCAGAGTCTGAGCTGGGAAACAAGTGTATCTGACAGGAGTTTTATATGGAGCTGTATGTGGACTACTCAAAGAAATGTAATAAAATGTTTCCAATTTCCAAATGCCATATGCCTAGACAGTCAATATTTTAGATTTTACTGTCACTTTATTTTCCAGCACATGGTGAATCAGTGTAATGGCTTTATGTATGATAAAACGTAAATGTTTTTCTGGGTAAGTGCCAAGAGAGGGTAATAGATTAGTTTAGAGATGTGATCCTCCTAACACCATGATTAATATTCACATCAGGGTTTTTCACTAACCCTCCAAGAGGCGAAAACATTTTTACAGCATATGAAATAAAGACATTGGGAAGGGAGAGTTGTGTTGATTGTTTTTAGCTATACAAGTCGATAACTTTGAGGGTGGGCTTGAGCCCGGCCACCTGGACCCTCTGGAGCTGCTGAGAGGTAAACAGATGAAATCTCTTACAGTAAGTGGCAGGCTATTTATAAAGAAAAGTCCACTCTCCACTGCTCTTACCTGGTATATGTGAAGTTCTTTATTTTGTGATGAAGTGCTGTAATTCAGTTCCTGCTGTACCACTTTCCCTCTGCCTGTCTTGTGCACTTCAACCTCTCCAATTTGTGTTTGGCTTCATTTCCCAGAAGGCCTCCTAAACTCCCCTGAGAGTGCATATGAGCTCGTTCTTTCTATTGTACGGGGTTGTACACATCTACAAAAACATACTTGATTGTATATGTTTTTTGCCAATCAGTGTGACATGAAAAGCAACAACTAGGAAGAAGAGTTATTAATATTAAGGCTTAAATTTGCACTCATCCTACCTTAAAATGATTAAGTGCAATTATCTTAGACTATATTAGATATTTAGAGACTGTCTTGAAGGCCTGTTGCACCAATGTTATCATCAATGAGTGGTATGTCCTCTTTGCTAAAGCAAAATGGAGAAAACTAGCGTGTTATGCTGAACAGACAATACCCCATCTAAGAAATAATGAGTGGGAACATTTTGGAAATGACATAAAAACAATGTTGTATAAAAAACATTGTAGTTTAGGATTAAGCGTCATGGGTTAAAATAATACAAACAAGTTACATGTTAGTCCAGATTTGAAAGACTATTCTATATTATATTGCAGCTGATACTGAGGAGAAAAAGGCAGCCTCATCTTTGATGGGTTTCTAGAGAGTACTACTCACAATCCTTCATATGATTTCTGGTCATGTGTGTAAATTGTGTAACAAAAATGTGCTTTAAAAAAAAGAAATACTCACTATCGCTCCCTCCTTTCCTCCAAAGTCAAGAAAGAGCAAGCGAACTCCATCATCTGAGGACATTTTTAGTTTCTCGTAGGGGTAGGAGAGGAGCACCCGGGGCCTGGTAGGTGTGTGGGCTCCTCTCTCCTCCCCGTCCCCCCCCTCCCCCAGTGAGGGGTCAGCCAGCACAGAGAAGCCCTGCTCATAGTGAATCACCAGCCGGCACTCCTGACTCTGGTACAGACAACCTGGAAGATGAACAGACAGAACATTTTCATTTTGGATGAACAAAATCTAAATCCTTAACACATTTCCTCATTATTGATATGTGGATGACAGGCCCACTTTGATTCACCTGGTACATGCTATATGTAATATGTCATTACACTGAGAGGTAAACGTTAGACTCACAGACTTGTATTTAGCAAAATAAAATCAAATGCATCTTCGTTGTCCTTGGAACACTTTCTCTCCTTACTTTTAGGGACATGTAGTTTTTCTATTGTTGAATTACTTAAGTAATAAGTGTTGGCCTGTATTGGCAGGGCAGGGCTATCGAGTGTGATTAATGTGATATGTTACTAGGTTGGATGTTAGTACAAAGTGAATTAGTTTTCTTAGATATATATATAAAAAAATGGATGACATTGATAAAGTCTCTTTTTTTTTTTCAAGTGTCATTCACTGTACTCGCATGTAAAACAAAAAAAGATATACGTTTTCAATACAATTAGCTCAAAAGCCTTACATTTGACTACATCATTTGGTAAAACAATAACATAGTATGATACATTTCCAGTGGAAGTCTTTAAAAACATGTTCTTCATTGAGGTTATTAATGATTGTTTATGTTACTGTGTTGATCCGATCTTTAGAGACTTACTGCCGCAGAATTGTACGGCATTTTAGTATTTTGAGTATTATTCAAGTCATTCGGATTTATATTAATGAGGGAAGACTAAACATAAGTGACACTTCTTACTGCATTGAACCTTAGTTTCAGCTAGTTTTAAAGCATATATGTATGATCTTCTTTTTAAAACACAGTACATTTCTGTCATATCTTTAAAGCAGACTGTGTTCTAACTCATGTATATTTTACACATTACAATTTGCCACACTTCAGTGACAGGCTTCTCTCTTCACGTGGAGACCGATGGTCTGTAATGTATCTGTTCTGCATAATTTCTTCTCACTTTACTTCTCTCTCCTCTCTCCTCACAGCATGTGTCCGCTTGAAAGCAGAGTGTGCCATCGACTCTCCCAATTTACACATCACTTTCCTCTGCTTTAATGACAAACCTGTCGCATCTCCACACAGTGTGATCTCACTGCATTTAGTCTGATGTTTTCAGTGCCTTGACAGCAGAGCTCCCTCGCTACAGCTCCTCCCCCCCACCCACCTCCACCTTTGCATGCTGAAAACTTCATTTACAGAATAGGCTTCTCTCTCTTGACGACATCTGATCTATCGAGCGCCGTGTTTGTGTGACAAAGAGACGGTGAGCGAGAAAATAGTTGTTATCTTTCCAGTGTTTGCTGACAGCCTGAGCAGGAAGTGTGTGTGTGTGTGTATTGTATGTACAGGTAGGGAGTGTCTGTTTGCTAGAGTTTACATATGAAAGTGAAAGTGTGTGTATAATGCCTCTAAGCAGTAAAAGGGTGTATTTTCTATCTTGCAGTCATGTGAAACAATCATGAAGATGCATACGAGTGTGCGTCTTCTCTCTTTGTATGTTTTAGAATAGCATGTCTGTTTACATATATGTACGCTCAGTGTCCTGCATCAGTCTCTTTTGTCAGAGAGTCAACCGGAGATTCTATGACTACTCAACCACATTGCCAGTCAAACAACCCTAATCACCTTATACACACCTTAATCGCTTTGACGTTCGCTTCTTTACCTAAAGGCAATTATGAAACCGGAAGGTTGGCAAATATGTACACAGAGTTGGTCAAAGGCAAATTCTTCTAGTGAGTTTAATTCAGCCTTCACAGAGGAGCAGATGAGACTGCAGAGCTATGTAATCAAGTTGCAGAAACATGTGCGAAATAGATTATCTGTCACTGTTTCTAATACAGGAATGCGCTCGGCATATTTGTTTTTGGTGGAAAAGTTTCATCATTTTATAACTGTAGCCTCTTTGCTAAAATGTGAGATAGTAACTTTAAAGAAATGTATTTAAATGGACTCAGAAGCCATACAGACACAAAGATGGAGTTGCAGATTTAGAAAGTCTCTAACATTATGTGGAGAATAGCTTTAGTACAGGCAGAGCACTCAAGTCATTAGCTGCTTGACTTCTAATTAAAGCATGTGTACACTGTGTTTCACTATCAAGGTGCAAAAACAAGCTATATTTGTGTGTGCTTGTTGAGGGGGGAATAAGAGCTGGGATGAACTTGTTCTAAACTAGGTATTATGAAACGTTGACCCACTGCTCAAATCTAAATGTGTATAGCTTTGCCAACAGCCAGACAGCTACACAAGGTTAACATCTGTTTATATTGTAATATATAGTATCGTGCATATTTCAGGATAGCAATACCACTGAAGTAATGTACAGTAGAAAGTGCACATTTTGGGTTTTAGACAACATTTTGTGTCAGGAGCAGAGAAGTAGTGTAGGCTACAGTATGGTCTGCTACCCTTTTCAAACACATCAGATGTGTGTTGATTACAACTTCCAAGGGTAATGTAATGTTGACAAGGAGAAAACATCACATAGAAAAATGTGCTGCACACGGAGTGAAATACACAGTGTAATATCCCCAGAACCCTGAAGTCATCCCATTCGTGATGAAAAATGAGTCTCATAATGTGTAATATTATTCTAATGATTTATAAACAATCTGGCAGGACAAACGTCTCCCTAATGGCATAACAGTTCTAAGTGGGGCAAAGAGTGCTGGTCTTTGTAATGAAAATTAGACCTGAAACCCTACTCTTCCACCTGAAAGGCTTGATCTGCAGGCAAGGTTTCCCACCAGAATACACACACACACACACACACACACACACACACACACACACACACACACACACACACACACACACACACACACACACACACACACACACACACACACACACACACACACACACACACACACACACACACACACACACACACACACACACACACACACACACACACACACACACACACACACACACACACACACACACACACACACACACACACACACACACACACACACACACACACACACACACACACACACACACACACACACACACACACACACACACACACACACACACCACACACACACACACACACACACACACACACCAAAAAACCCTCTTTCTGCCTGATGGTGAGTGGAAAAGACAGCGGGGGGGCAGAGAGTGATAACACTGAGAGAGGAACTGAATGAAAGAAGACAGTGAGAGAGGAGAGGGACACCAACTCTGTTACCACGAGTGCAAACACTGAAAAGGTTATTAGGGGACAGAAACTTGTTTTTTTCTGTCATTAGTTTTAAACTTGTTAAATGAAATACTTCACATTTTAAAACTGCTTCCCCCTGTGCTGAACTCGTGTGACAGCAGGTTACCGTGATGATTCTCCACAACCACCGAGGTCAAATTGCTTCGTGTGCTTCGAGTCATTAAGCTGTTTACCTGTTCATTAAGGAGACCCAGTCGAGCCCTAAGACAATTTTACAGCTGGCACCTTTGACAATAACATTAATGAGAAGGCTGTGGGTGTAGAAGAGGGACTAGTGGGATTACTGACTAAACGGATACATCCGAAGCTGGTCATAAAGAAGTGTTGTGTTTCCATTCTTAATGGAAAGCTTTAGGTAAGGAAACTGACAGCTGGTTGTAGGTTTGTTTTTATATTACAGACTTGATTGATATCAAGTCTCTTATCTATCTCTCTGCAAGAGAGCAAATTAAAGTGCCCAAAATATCAAACTATTAACATAAGTGCTCAAGTAAAATCTGCAAAACAACTGACGGTAAAATCCATCCTCAGATCTATTTATATTCTGCAACATGAAATACTGCATAAAACAGATTATTGATTCTTGATAGGTTGATTAAGACTCCAGTGAAGTGAGTAAAGCGTTAGAGGACACTAGGAAGAGCAGAAATGCGGTAAAACATAAGCTGGGTTTTAACTTCAGAACATGATAGACAGATGCCTTATCCTGCTAATTGCTAAAAATATCAATATAACCTAAGAAAAGTCACCTTGGACATAAACATAAGAGAAATGACTCCGAGCCATGGGTGTTTCTCAATCGCGAGTACGCTTGCTTGGTAGCACATGTCTGCCGAGCATCTTGCTTCAGAAGCGAGTCAAGAATACTTCCTGACATTTGGAAAACAAAGAGTGGAACAGGCTAGCAAGTGTGCAGGTGTGCGTCATATGAGAGGCCCCGCCTTACATTTTCCGCCACAGATTTTGGAAATTGGACCGTGCGCAAAGCATTGTGGGGATTTTAAGACCGCGGAGTCTACTCATGTGCAGCCTCGATATTTCTCCAAACGGAGTACGCCGGGCTCGGTAGATTGGAACAGTACTTCGGCGGCACTCGATGACGTAGTATGCTTGAAATAGTGGCTCTGCAGCAGCTTTACTCGACATTGAGAAACACCCCATGTGTCTGTGAAATTTGACTTGAGAGCCTAACAAATCTCTCTCCTTCTTAACGTCGCTCTAAGAATGGCCTGCTGCCCGTCAAGTGATTGAGTGTTAATCTCTTCAGAGAAAATCTTCATCACAAGCCTTGACAGTGAAGAAACCATCGCAATGATTAATCAGAACGTGACACATGTGAAAAGATTACAAGGTCAGCGCCACAACTGCAGGTGGCAACTGCTGAAAAATGAGGGAATGCACTTTGTATGCATTATCCCACTCGCTTTCGGGGAAGTGTAAATTACTTTTTCTCCTTCCATAACATGAAATCGAGGGCTTGGTGCTAACATCAATCTGTTTCAGAAAAGTTATAGGATCCAATTTAGACAGAAATGCAATGATGAGCAATAAAGATTCACAACCATTTTCCTTTTTCCTCATCTTTTCAGCCTGTGTGACTGACTTGTATCCTAAATCTGTATTACACTCAAAATGAAAGAACATAAATGTTTCCACCTATTGTAGTGCCATGGTTCTATGGATGGTGATGTTGGACTGTGGGTCTGCCACTTTTGGACAAACTGAAGTATCTAAACCACAATTAAGCCCTGAAATTTTGTACTGACATTCATCGTCCCCAGAGGATAAATCGTTATGATTTTGTTGAACCCCTGACTTCTTGTGCCACCACTTAGTGCTAATTAGCAAGATTCTGTGTGCTAAACTAAGATGGCGAACAGTGTAAACATTAGGACTATTCCATTGTCACACATTGTCTTATGGACAATGGTCGCTATCTTTGTTTTTTGACGGTGGCCTCCTTGGTATTTTGTAACCAGAACAGAAGTGACACAACATGTCAACAAGCATTCATGGTAAATGGTGAATGGACTGCATTCATATGGTGCTTACATACCTGTAGCTTTTATAGCGCTGTATGACACCTTCCCAGTCTTTACAAGCCCTCAAAGTGCTTTTACATACACAAGTCAGCATTCAACCATTCACACAGATCTCAGGGAATCTGCTCTGGGAAACTAACATTCACAGACACTTACACAAAATTGGCAATGCCATCGGGAGTACCTTTGCTGGGATTGAAACCATCCAATTTATAGAAAACCCCGCTCCCTCACAGCCACAGTGGACCCATTCACTGTCATCTGTCAGTGGCAAATGCTAGTGCAACATTTAGCAGCAAAATGAAAGCTAATTATTAAGGCTAATTAATGCTAATGTTATATCTACTCACCTAAGTGGCCAAAAAAACAATTAAGGCAGGTTTTTAAGGCGCGTGGGCTTTAATGGATCCCAGCTGATTAGATTTCTGCACAATTTGTAGGGAGGGCAGAAAATTGCATGCGGTAACAGGACACAAATTACCAATAAGAATGATAAAGGAAATGTAAATGTTCATTAAAAACAGTAAACAAAATCCTATTCACTCCTATGAAGCTCCAAAATAAGTGTAATCACCAGTGTGGGTGCACCACAGGTCTGCAGGCCAGGGCCCTCAACCTCATCTGTTGCCTTATCTTACAGTGAGTCAATACTAATCCTGTTGTTTCAGTCTAGACAGCGTTTTGTCATGGGATTAAAAAAATATGTCCTTTTAACATTCACATCTCCTCACAAACTACCTTGACAAAGAAAATGTCATTATTTTCAAACATCTTGGGGATGTTAAATTCACATTGAGCTCTCCAGGCATGAATGTAGCCTTGCTATGCCAATCACAGCGTAACATTTACACCTGGATAATTGGGTGAAGACACACTTCCAGAAAGTTTGAACAAAAGCGTGGTGATGTGTAAATAACACTGACAACCGGGATGTAGTGTTGAGGGTGTGTATGATTTGCTCCTGAAATCTCTCTATTTCATATATGAGTGTAGTCTGAAGTCAAACTTTATTTGGCACAGTGTTATCACAGAAGACGAGAGGAGGGGGGCCCAGGGGAGAAGTGCAGTTCCCAGGACATTATGTATGAGAGGGAGAGAGAGGGGGAGATGGAGGGGGAGAGGGGAGAGAGAGTGTATTCTGTTGGAATTCCCTGGACGGCAGAAATGAAATGCCAAATATCCCCCCCCCACACACACACGCACACTAAAATAGCATTCCTTTCTATAAATAGCTTTAAATGCTTTGTCCCTCCACATCGTCCATATGGCTGTCAAGTTATATCACAAACCTTCTCAGCGTATAAGTGGGCGTATGGTGAATGTATATGATTTGCTTCTTGCACTTAATTTGTGGTGCTTGCAGTGCTTACCCTTGCAAACTCTTAAGTCTCTTAGCATGTATTTTGCTACAGCGTGCCTCCACACGTCTGAGGATGCACACATCACATAATCCAGCGCATTGACCTATACTACTCTCAATCTCAATCCACAGCTACACGTCTTATGGCATCTAAATTCAGTACCACTCACTTGTCGTGACCTCTTTGATCATCTCGGCTGAGGCGTGACATCCGTTGACTATTTGTCTGGTCCACAGGGACAGATCCTTGGTGGTCTCGGCCCGGAACAGGTGAGTCTCGATACCGAGCCGTGTGCCAGTCCGAGTGGCGAAGAACAACTCGGTGCCAGAGTGCGGCGACCCCCGGTCAGGACCAGAGTGGACCAAACTGGAGAAACACACACATAGAAAACATTTCATTGCAAAGCTTCAAAAGCACTTGTGATCAAAACTGTTACCAAGAAGCAGGCACCAATTCATATTTTTGCTTATCTTGGTGAAATTGGCCTATAACCAATCTGCAACACTGCCACATTTTCATTGCAGTCAAAGCACCGCTGTGGCTAAGTACAGCCTGAAAGAGCATGTAGCATGGCAGGGGACTGTTGTTTGAAAAACCTCAAAATCCAATACGTTGACTTTGATACATACAACAATCCCAGTTGTGCAACACTTCACCTGTCCGTGGTGAGGCAAGAGCCTGATATCTCTAGAGGGTTTATTATACCGAAATCAGTGAATGGAGAGATTTGAGACAGAGTCTAAAGGTCTACATTCATACAGCAGCTCTGTGATGCTGATCATTATAAACAAAACCAAATTTGACGATGGATAGAAGCTGAAGTTCAAAGCTGCTTTTGATGATTCTGAGGAGTCGTGGTGAAGTAAATAAGTAATGGTAGAGGTTGGTATTGTTACGGTTGTAATGCTTACGTGATCACAATAATAATGCTAACTTGGCAGTATTAAGCACATGATGTTAACCTATTAGAAAAACATGTTAAAATCCTTTGCAATATTCAAATTAACAGCACAAAATCACAAGAAGTGGCTTTAATAAAATTGATATCGTAGCAGAGTGTATTTTTTAATTGATATCTAATTTAGTATTGATTTCTAAATCACAAAAGTCTCTGATTCTTCTGATATCTGTACCTATGGTAGTGGACCTACCGTGTTGCTAACAGTGGGTAGGTGTGAGCAGGGCTCTGCCAGGCCTCCTTGCCTCGCGGTAAGCTCTCGTACAGCAGCAGGTCTTTCTCTGTCACCACCACCAGCACCGGCTTCCAGCTCTGCTTCTCGCTCTCCGTCTGCAGCAAAAACACATAAACAATGAGACAGGAACGTTTGTAAACATCTATCGATATTCTATAACCACTTATCTAGTACAGGGCCATGGGCAGACTGCTGTATTCAGATGAAACACATTTACATAAACATAAAGCCATTTAAAACTAGTTTCTTCAATCATTTGTCAAATTGCCAACCCTGAAGTAATACATTATAATACTGAGTACTGAGTGTGCTTAGCAGCAGCCCAAAATGGTCTATTTTTTAAATATCCCTTTATATATTTCTTAAATGTACTTTTTTCATAGTGTTAATGGATCTTTGTGGAGCTTAAAAAATAATTGATTCAAGCTTACAAGTCTGCTTATTCAGAATTAGATTTGAATAAAGCACAACCCCTTTTAATTTGAGTGGCAGGATTTGATGTTTTTATGCACTCTTATACTTGTCACAAACGCTGAAAGGTCTCCAAAAGCAGGTATTTCATCAGTAATATCAATGGTTGTTTACCAGTGAGCTGGCTCTTTGGGACTTATGGTGTGTCAGAGAGAGGAATGGTGTGTGTGTTTGATCTGTAAAAGACTCTGCAGTGGTAGTAGACCAGCGTTCATCTCTCAACCTAACTCTTTCTATCTGTCTTTTTGTCTTATTTCCCTGCCAAATGCTCCAAAACTGATCTAAATGTGACTGTCACAATGCTGTTCTGGGACATCTCTAGACATGAGAACCATCATCACTATACTGTTGTGTGTAGCTAGAGGAGAATTCACCAAACAATGAATGTATCTGGTGTGCAGGTGCAGGTACACATTATACATATTTTACTATCCCTCTTTTTCCCCTCAGAACATAGACTTCTAAACTTAGCACACACACACACACACACACACACACACACACACACACACACACACACACACACACACACACACACACACACACACACACACACACACACACACACACACACACACACACACACACACACACACACACACACACACACACACACACACACACACACACACACACACACACACACACACACACACACACACACACACACACACACACACACACACACACACACACACACACACACACACACACACACACACACACACACACACACACACACACACACACACACACACACACACCATTTTACAATGCTCCATAACTATTCTCATTATGAGCGCTTATCTCCAGCCCCGCCATGGAATCCTAAGCTGCTCTTTCAAGTGCTGCCTCAGCCAATCATATCAAAGGATTTAAAGGGTCAGCTTTTTAACATAATAAGAATATGTTGTCAGTGACAGAATTGTACTGCCTTTAAAGGATCAAATATTGGCAAATGCATGGAGACTACATTAGACAGGTATGAATATGTTTGTGTGTGTGTGCACAGGTGTGTGTATCTAAAGAGAGAATAAACCTGTACCTGTGCACATGCTTGTATGAATTTCAAAGATGTGGGCATTTGTTGGATAGACAATAGATATCCATAATGCAAAAATAAAGTATGCATTAAACACAGGTACGCATGCATGCACACACGCATAATAAGACATCCTGTTGAAATACAACCCATATATCACATTTCTCTAGTCTTATCATGTTTCTCAGTTGAAGAGAAAAAAAAACTATCCAAAAATTAAGTGTGACCTTTTAACAGCCCTGACAATGAAAGTGTGTGTTCTAATTTTTCAAAAATGTCAACACTTTTGAGATGTAAAACTCAAACTAGTCATCCAAAAATATGCACACCTATACACCTCACCTACACACCATGGTAATAAGAGATAAGCTACCCTATTAAAAAATGTAGCAGCATGGATGTCACACACACACACACACACATAAACACTCGTACCTTCCCTGCCAGCCAGCCCAGGTGTCGTATCTCTCGGCTGCCAGCCACCCCGGTCCTGGCTGTGTTCTGGATGACCTCTGCCAGCGCCCGCTGTGGAGGGACGATCATTCAGGACGCATTAGATTCAGAACAGAACCGGGGAGGCCAATTAGGCCAATTAAAATATGTAATTCTAATGGTGAGAATTACCTTTAAAATCAATGAAATCAGAGACAGACCTGTGACAGAGTGGAGGTGACAGAGTGCATGGCGGAGAACCAGCTCAGGGCCGAGGGTTGGTCGGGGCAGCGAAGCACCACGGTGTGCCGGGCGTCAGGGGAGTGCAGCTCCAGCTGTCTGGAGGGGGAGATAAGAAAAGTTAAAACACCCTTAACCTCTGTGTTATCTTACCACAGGTTCTAAGACTTTTAATGCCGCAATGAATACATTCATATATTTCGGAAAATCCATTACTAGCCTTATCAGGCAGACCCAATTGGACTCAATTTAATCTCAACCCATAGTTATAGAAACCAAATGTAATCCTTTTGGTTCTCAACTTCAACAGATGCTTGTTTGTCTCATCCACATGAAAATGGGCATCCGGTGAGAACAATGAAATGAAGTGCATTACATTTTATTCAAGTCAATTCAAAACAGAAAGCAGGCATTGCTTATGCATCCTCTGTGGCCATATGACACAGTGCTGTCTCACACTAAATTTCCATAGCTAATCTTCTTAAATCATATGGGAGTATTTCTGGCCTTGGGAGAAATGCGTCTGTAGGATGGTTCCCGTTCTCTTGAATGGCTCTTTGATTGTGTTGTCAATGATTATGAATTTTAAAAAAGGTGCATGTTTCAGCCATTATGGCGCGCTTAAGATTGTAATATCAATACAGTTATTGCGCATCTTCAGGAGTAGCAGCATCAGTAAAAAATACTCAGTGATGCTGAAGCAAAGCTCAACTGTCAGTAGGGCTTATTTGAGGACAAATGAAAAAGGATGCAAATAACATCACAGTTACATTTGACAAATATAGTAGGGCTTCATACGCTAATGCTGTGTTAAAGTAATGGGCGGCGCAAAAGGCTTCAAGTAATTTTTAAAGAAAGCCGGTAACATGAATCTACAAGCAGTGAATCGTTAACCAATCATATGTTTTTGTTTCACTATTTCAGGATTCCTTCTCTCTCTACACCTGTATTATCTAAGAAAGAACATATTCTTGCCAGTTCCAGGTGCCTGAAACTCAGTAGTTGTGTTGTTTGTTGCTTGTAATATGTGTTAGAAAACCTGGTAAATGACTGTTAGGTGTGCGGCTCATGCTGTGATTTGGCTGTGAGTTCACAGTCTAGCCTCTCTGTTCACAGCACTCCACAGTCCAGGTGCTCCCGGTGGTTTAAAATAGAAACTACTCCAAAACCAGGGTGGTTTCAACTCTGCAAACATGCTGTCTTAGCAGCTTTTCTTATTCACACAGCACACTCTGGGGACCTGGAAAAGCCCCGGTGAATGTGATGAATCTGCTCTTCCATCAAACTCTCAGAGGTGGGACAGACCGCCCAGAGCAGCTCCAGGTGTTTCTTTGGGGTTAAAAATAGAATTGTGCCTGTAAAAGGAAAGTTGATTAAGAACAGGCTAGAGAGTGAGAGTGAGAGAGGGCGGAGGGGGGAGGTTGTGGGGGAGACTCCAGGGCCAGATGTGCGTTTGATAGAGGAGGTTCTTTAAGGAAGGTGTTTGTTTTAGCAACAACTTGACTCCTGTGAGTTATGCTAGACCTAGAAGAAGCTTTATCTGCCATGGTTCAAATGTAGAGGAGCTTTTGGGCTGAATTACCCATCTGTTGGGTGAATGACACAATGTTTAAAAATGGGGAATAACTGGGAGAAGAGCACACAGACCAGTAGATGAACTATTATATAAGTCCTGCCTGAAAAAAGATCAACGTCTCCCTTGATCAAAGGGTAATTGTTCTCCCAGGATTAGCATGATATATATAGCAAATATGTATTCATCTTGGTAGGTCACTTCTAGCATACAGATGTGAGTCATGCAGTCATTTTATTTGAATTATTAATTGATGAACTTTGTATGAACATAACAGTTGCATTAAATAAATCATTTAAAGGTGGGGTAGGTAATTTTGGAGAAACCAGCTCGAAATCGCTAGAATTTGAAAATACACAGCCGGAAAAAATCTGCCACTTCCTTACAGAGCCCCTCCTCCAACACACACAAACGCGCACATGACCAATGAGGGCACGAGATAAGTTTGTGCCCAGATGGAAGGCTGACAGGCAGGTAGGCCATCCAGTTATTTTAGCCGGGCCGGCTAAAATGATTGGTCGTACTTTTTACAGTACTACGGCTTCCACAGATGACATTTTTTAATGGATTTTTTGTCAAAGCACTTGAGATATTCATTGCTATCTGGATGTTAAGAGCATTCCATGGAATATAACAAAAAGTGTATCTCGAGCCGGTTTCTCAAACTTACCTACCCCACCTTTAATGGCGAAATATCCAATTTACAGCAGTTACACATTTTAGAATACTGTTGAAATACTGAACATACAAAATACAAGCCTATTTGAATCACGATAATAAATGTGTGTCACAGATGACCCAAATAACAAAAAAACAAGGTTTGAATTCACAATAAATCCAGTTCATATTTCTTTGGCGAAATAATAATTAACAATGGAATAGTTGTAGCACATAATACAGTAGGTTTCATGTAGAGATGTTTTTAAGTCTTGGAAAATCATATCTAAAATGTAAAATCCTTGAGGGCAATTTTTCATATACAGTACAAATGGCAAGTTTGCCGTGGATCTCTCAGATCAGAATGTAAGTTTTTGACTGCCTCTACAGCTCTGACGTGGGGTTATTAGAGTGTGAAGCTGCAGTGGCCAGTTATTGTAGTGGTTTGAGGATTGGGCAGCACTGTCCTGGGACATTTAGCTGTAACTTCAGTGAGTCTTTCCAATCCAATGCTTTTGTTGAATGCAGCTCTTCGGCCCTGCTGCTGATTCAGAATGGAGGTCTGTATGTTTGACTAAGCCAGTTGTTGAATCGTATGCATAGTTCTCCTTTTGCACTTCCATTCTTTCACTTAGTCTTAAAGATATTTTGCCAAACAGCTGAGCTATAAAATGCCATTTCAGCATGAAAATAATCAGATGAGATGTTAAGAAATGTCGTAAATGGGTAGGGCTAACAGTTTGACCTCCTCTTCAGTTGACATTTGAGATGAGATATGGAATACAAACAGGATCTCAGCTTTGAAGCAATAATGCTGGCGACAACTTAAGAGATCAGTAGTACCAGGAAAGTATGTATAGGCTAATGTTCCTGCACTGGTATGCACCAAACCTTGATGAGAATAAGAAAGAGTGTACATTTTCATCCCTTTAAAGTTAAACAAAGGTACTGTAGACAACTGTCAAACAGGGAACTGTGCTGTTTCTGCCAGGATTCATTTCCTCCTCTTACAAAGCCACACAAGCTTTCCTTTCCCTTTTCTTTGCTCATCTTAGCCTTTTCTGTTCTTTCTCAATGTCTGTCCTTTCCCTGCCCACACCCTCCTCTCTTTTTCTTGTTTCCTGTTTCCACTTAACTTAACTTAACATTTGTAATCCAAACTGTAAAGGATAGGAGTATAATCCTCTTTTTTTGTATTTAATCAATGTCCCAGGAAATCATACTTTATTTGCCTATCAAATGTAAATGTTACAGTAAGGTGAGGCAGATGTCTTCAGAGTATTACAAACTAGAAAAAAAGATGAATCACTCAAATCTTCACTTATCTTTTCTCCTCCATACTGTTTCACTTTTATTTTCCTTGTCTTTTATCATCTCGTTTCATCACTGTACGTGCTCTGCCTTCCGTTGTATCTTTGTCTCCTGCCTGTCCTTTCAGGCTTACACAAAGTGTAAACAAGAGAAGAGCAACCCTCAAGGGGAGTCTAGTATAATAAGATAAGCAAAACTTAACAAAAAGCCCCCTAAACCTATTTTAGCTCGAATCCCAAAATAAGAAAAACAAAGAATCGGTTTCATTCTAACCCGACAATCTTTATCTGACTTCCATTATCTATGAACACCATGATACTAAGAATCTTCCAACTTTTAGTATAAATATGTGTTTCAAGGATAACGCATAACAGGCTAGGTTGAAATGAGGTTTTCTCCCATCTAAACATTCACTAAATATTTACGGTTCAGTCAAAGTGGAATGTTCCATGGCTGTGAAAAACAAGGAAGGGCCTTCATAAAAAAACATGCTGGTCAAGGTAACCCTGGCCAGCTTTATCAAACCACTAAAACACTGTGTTATCTGTGAACAGTAAAAAACACTAGAAGAGTTATTGACCCCAGTTCTGTGTGTAACTGGATGACCAATAAAGTCACAGTTATGGCCAACATAGTGAATGTTCAACCCAACAGTGCTCGCGAAAAGTCTAATATGTAAACCAAGATCGGAGCAGAATGCTTACCAAACAGGCTCCGGGCATTTTGAAATGTAGGATTACATTTCATTTTTTGTAATGGAAAATCTGTTTTTATTTATTTCATGTATTTATCTAATGCCTACCATACACCAGAATACTTTGAAAACTAGAGCCCTCTCAAAACCAAAGACAATCTGTAATATCTCACAAAGATTCAGTCACATTTTTACAAAACAAAAAAAAGTTGAAAACAACAGTTGAAAAAGACTGACCAAAGACTGCTTTGGCTAGCAAAACTCTTACTATATTATTAATATTATTATTATGACATTGCATATTCGTCTGCTGCAGTTACATGGCTTTAAAAGTAATTTGTGGTAAGGCCTGCATTGTATACTCCGTTTAATAGGTAAATAAATATCTCAAATAGACTAACTCACACAGTTACACTTTCTTGTTTTTTCAGATATGTACTTTATGCTAAGCTAGGCTCATCACCTCCGAGTTCTAGTTGCATGCAGATTTTTATTATCTAATTGACAATAACAAACTTATTAGATTATACTTTACTGTTGCTTCAAAGACAACATGTGATTCCTCAAAAGTGATCTACACAGTGTGAGCATTTCGGTCAACATTTGTAACAGTTTTCACCCTAAATTTAAAATCTGAAGAGACATGAGGCTCATACTGCCACAGGCAATGTACAGAGAATGGCTCATGGACACAATCTCTGTCACTCACTCTACAAACAGTGGACAAGAAAAAGTGACACCTGCATTTCAGAATAATGAATAATGTCCTTTTCTTATGATTTGTTTTTTTATTTTGAGGGAAATTAAAGTTGTATGATACTGGACAGCCAGCCAGCAGAGAACCATCTGCCTTGTCTGTTTATTCTGTTCTTATTTTTGTTTTGTTTTTTCATAAACTGATTGCTTGTGTGTATAAGCATTTACATTTAACAGATGCAGCGTTGAGCTGTCTAACAACGTCTTCACAGACAGAGGGACTTTGAAGTCACTATTCACGTTTATGACTTGACTTTGATGTCGTCTGAAGCTTTGAAGTTTAGTGAGGTTCAACTATTTCATACTTCTCAAATCATACATATGCAGAAGGGGACACACATTGATGGAATGACAGAGCGAAAACAAACAGACAAGAGGATGGAGATGCTGTAGAAGGAGAGAATAGATTGCAGAAAAGCTGGGAACACATAAGATGGATCATGAAAGAACAAAAAGGGAGACAACAAAAGGGGCAGAAAAACACAAACAAGTGAGAAAGAGTTATAAAACAGGAAAGAGAGACAATGTTGAGACAAACGGGAAGGGAAACAACCCGGTAAGAGAGAGACATCTGGGACAGAAAGCACACATTCATACAGTGTGACACCAAAAATGTTTAAACAGTAAATCTCTCTCTGCCCCCATGCTGTTTGATTGGGCCATTGTCATATTACAAACCAATTAACTTGACAACACCTCCTAACAGACCACCCCCCGCTAACCGAGAATAATCAGAGTGCCACTTCAAAGGTCTGTCTAAAAACTGAAGAAGAAGCGGGCTGAAGACGCAAAGGAAGACTTTCCTATTGTCTGTCTGTCAGACTGTAGAGTCAAGGAGCAGAGGAGGGTTGGTTAACCTTTGGTTCATTCACAGAGTCATCTTCTGGTTGTTTCAGAGTTGAACTTTATAGCAAGTGACAGTATGGACACAAACTCTCTGGGATAGTTTAGGCAGTTTGGGTTCACCACAACACACACACGACATGTCACATGACTTTTCTCACTGCAGCAGCCTGTATCAAATGCACCCTGTTCATAATTGTAGTGAACATAACATGGAAATAAAATGTAATTTATATTTGGTGATTACACTTTTTACCAAAACCGTGGTTGTTTCCAATGGAATTTCAAAACAGAGACAGTGATGATATATCTTCTGTTTATTGATTTTCATGTGAAATAGGAGATTGATAAGGATATCCCCTGATATGATATGATTAATCATTTTGGCTTTAGCCAGGTTAATGTTACATTACTATGGTTGGTCTGCCGCTTTGTTAAATTGTAAGCTATTTTATTAATTTGCCCTTTAGCAAAGGCTCTCTAGTATGCAGTGATAGTCTTGGGCTTCTATTGGAAGAGGACGTTTTAGACCCAGAATTAGCAGACAGAATTTCACTGTAAAGCAATGCTTAACGGGAATATAAACGCAGATGTGTGATTATTCTAAACCCATTGATCAATCAACAAACTTCATAATAATAAGTTAAAGCAAAAATGTTTTCTATTGCTCTTTTAAAAAGCATGACCAGCAATATTCTCTTTTTTTAAATATCATACATAAATGCAATACAAACAGCAACAATCTGTGTTTGTCCCCCTGTCAATACTTAGCAAAAAATTATAATCCTGTTTATGTCGTGCCGCCCCAAGCTCATTTGTGCCTCCTGAAGATGTAAATCTTTAAAAACGATTACACCTACACGTGACTGAACTATGTGAGTTAATCGATGAACTAGTCGTTAGTCTGTGAATTAAAAGCAGAAGAGCAGCAGGCAGATCATATTCAGGAGTCTGAAAAATGCAGCATCTCCAGTGACCTGCCTTCAGCTAAAGAAGGAGGATACAGGCATCTTTATGGTCTCTGTGTGTGTGTGTGTGTGTGTGTGTGTGTGTGTGTGTGTGTGTGTGTGTGTGTGTGTGTGTGTGTGTGTGTGTGTGTGTGTGTGTGTGTGACCTACCTGTTCTCTGGGTCAGGTGTGGTCATGGCTCGGGTTACACAACACATCCTGAGTGGTATGCACCTCCTGTCGCCCTGCAGGGACAGTGAAGGCTGGGTGGGAGAGCTTGGGGGGTCGAAGGGGGAGCAGGAGGTGAGGGAGTGGCTGCCGAGGCGAGGAGACTCAGGAGGGGGGGTTTCCCAGCCGATCTCCGACACAGGGGAGCCCTTTTTGACGTACGGCGTGGCCTCACGCATGTACTTCACTGGGCAGAAAAGGAAGAAAGAGATTTCCAGTATACAGTCAGACATCGTGAACAAGGTTGGGTACTATGGGGGCTTCATTTTTATCACATTAACTGGCAAAATATTGACACAGATGACTTACTTACGAATTTCACAGTGCAAAAACACTCTCACTACATTGAAGTGGATGCTGTACTGCTCAACTGCTCTGAACACTGCAGTCTCTTTTCATATGAATTGTGTTAACGCAGATGTTTATTTAAATCCGAGTAGAATATCCCGAATGTGTGACTGTAAAAGACATCTTTTTATGCGACCCCTTTTATTATATCAAAGGCAACAGACAAACTGCTGTTACGAGGCTCACTGCTTTGAAGAGAGTTTGTGTCTGTCAAAGGGAGGATGTGAGGATGTTTAGGTAAACAACAGAAAGAGAAACTGTTTAATGATGGTACCTCGGAGGCATTTGGTAAGTATTAAAGACTGTCATGGGGCAGAGTTCTCTCAGCAATATCTCAGTGCATAAATGATGCATTAACTAAAGATATGCAAGTGTAGCATGGAAATGCCTAGGGAATTGTCGGTATGACTTTATTTTAGACTATGAGACTTTTATAGCTGTATTAGGTTTGCATTAGGGTAGTCCACAAGTTAGATTTTAAAATAACATTTTGCACATGTAGTTATTCTGTAATTTAATTTAAGTATGCAAATAAAATGATGCGTGCTTGTTGCACTGACAGCAGGAAAACTCACTTGATCACATTATTACCTTCTAATCCCCGTAAACTGGCCCAGTTGGCTCTCTGCTGTCAATTTTAAACAACAGCAAAGTCAAAATGCGTATACTCAAAGCAGACTTAGCTTAAGTTAATTTCTTAATATTAGGCATGCTGTAATGTGTTCATGCTGTTAACTGCACTGATGATTCACACCTCGTCTCTGTTGCTACAGACAGGCAGCATCAAACAAAGTTATCATCTCATAAACACTGAGCCATCTAACCCCCACAGCCTCCAACATTTCCTGATAAAACCATCACAGCTTATGCCAAATACCTCAGAAAGCCTATTTTGATGTCAGCAAAACAGAAATAAGCTCAATCACTGGGGGCTTGATTTGAAATTCATCGTGTTTTTAGGTTTATAAGGGTAGAAGAAAAGAGAGGAAGACATGACACATGTTTCAGTGAAAGACAGAAATAGAGACACAGAGATAAAGCAGTATGCTTTCCTTGTCCCAAATGTTCTGGATCTTTGGTATGCCCTGGATGTTTAATTGGCATATCCTACTGTACTAGCCGCGTTTAATTGGCATATGGCTGGTGGCGTTTGTAATCCAAAAAGTGAACTATTCTTGGAAGAAGCACTATAGACCCCTGTGAGACTGTGTGTAGCAAGCCTAACGCCAACCTGCAGACGAGAGATGACAGGCTGACACAAAACACAAAGCAGGAGGCGGGGGTGAATTGAGAGTGTCCTGGATGGACCTTCAAAGAAGATTTGATCCAATTGCAGCATAGAATAACCCGCATAGTCTAATCAGATTAAAGGGCGGAAAATCCATTTGTTAAAGGTGCTCTACAACTGAATTCAATGGACTGAAAATATTAATTCTGCTGCAGTTGGGTGATGAAAACCTTGTCTGGTGATGTTTATAAGGAGCCATGCTTCTATGTGACACAAAAGCACATTTAGGATTTAATATAGAAAAGAGGCAAACGGCAACAAAAAAGGCAGCAAGTGTAACAAAGCTTTCAAATTTGAGATATATTTATCAAAGTACGAAGATGACACGCACACTGTCTGCCTCATCTTCTGTGCTGCAGAGCATGATGAAGCTGCAAAGCAACAGCAAATACATTAAATCCCCCAAATGTCTGTCTGTGCCAGTGATAATCCAGCACTTCTGACAGACTTTGGAAAGGATCATCTGACAAACAAAAATGTTCAGCAAGTAAGCATATTTTTAGACTCATTATCAAATGCACTATTTAGTCAGTGAACAAGAATGTGCTTCTTAAAAAATTAGATATAAAGATGTGATAAGCTTTATAAAAGAGAATGAAACAATACAAACACAGTGGCTGTTGGGAATATAATTAATGCATGATACAATCTTATCGGCTAAATACATCAACTGGCAGTTTGAAGACATCAACTATCACCCTTGGCAATAAACCCTTTATCATATTTTAAATGATTAATAAATTAATTGATAATGAAAACGATTCTTTCTATTGCTAATGAGGAATGAGATGAGAGGTTCACCAATGGCCATATAGCTTAGTCTCTGTGATTTACAGTCCACTTTATTACCTGACTCAATTGAAAACACTCAATCAATCAAATGCAGCTATTACACAAACATATTTAGTGGTTGATTTGTCTTCGGTTAACCTTTACAATGACATTTTGAATGGAGCAAATGTACACTCATGGACCAGCAGCCTCACTGCGCCCAGAAATAAAGCTTGGCTGTTTCCAGCGGAGGGGAAAATAAATGGGGTGGAGTCGGTGTGATCATTACAGTGGAAGTGTGTGAATGTGTTTCCCATGGGTCGTGTTTCTATTCCATTACAGCACCAACACGGCCAACTCTGCACAATAACCTCAATAGCACAATAACAACTCGGAGAGGATAGGCCTTATACCGTTTGAAAGCAGCAGTTACGTAAATCAAAACCAAAAGATCCAAATGAAGGGCTGCCATCACCCATCTGTCAGATTTTAGTTTCCATTTTTCTGTCTCATGCTTAAGAAAAAAATCATGCCCATACAGATGCAACTCAATCTTTTTCAGTATGACTCTTAGTCTCCACTGAGGGTAGAAACAGAAGCTTGCTGTTTCAGTAGTTGTGATTTAGATGTCTCAATGTATCACCAGAGAAAAGTTGTTCAACGAACCAGTAAAAAAGCTACTTCATTTATGCAGTTTAAAAACCATTCAATAAAAAACACGGATTATTAAACTGTGCTCAACTCGAACACATTTTCAAAATGAGGCTATTTTTTCTTCAGAGGTGTTCAGATGTGTCGTCAACACACACACACTTGTTCAGTCGCATTCCTCGAAATGTGTGTTTCAGCAGCAACAACCCCCTCCCACAAACACACACGCACAAACACTTACACAAACACGGTACATTTCTCATTGTGTCTTTTTTTACATAATGGTGCTTAACAGTATTTAATGGTGTCTGAAGTCACTGGAAGTTATACCATATGCTTATAAAGGGGATTTTTTATTTGGTGAGGAGGTGTACCAATGAAAAAAAGAAACCTCCTTTTATTGAGCCAGTGGGAGAGAAAGTAGAAGGTTTGACGTTGGTAAAGCTGGAATAAGAACAGAGCGGGGCAAAGAGGCAGGAAAAGGGGAAAGACTCCTCTGATCGCAGAATGAAGGCTTTTACTCTGTCGGCACTGTGCATGTAGCTGGATCCTGTGGCAGCACAAAATACCTTTTCAAATCCACCCTCAAGACGTCTTTTCGTAAGATTTGGACCAACATATCAAAGAGTTCAAATATCGCCTTAACTGAACAATGGACAATGAACAGATACTTGGATGGAGGCCCTTTTTATAGGAGGAATTTGAGCAAGAAATTTGAAATGTGGGTGGGTAGAATAACTCACTGACACTGAACTTGATGTCAAACAGTTACTAACTCTCTGCCAGCACTGAACTTTTAACAAGAGATGTTGAATATATTTTAAATCAGAAAGAAGACGATGGTAATTGTTGCTAAAACGTTAAAGAGATGGCAAAGGTGAGCTGACACACTGTTTTGGAACCTATAGTTTAATATCTATACAGTAGGTCTTCTGTATAAAAATCATTTCTTTGGCTGTACGTAGGAATTTAACAATGTGAATTTGTACAAGTACACATTTGTACTGAATTCTGCACACAGAAAGATGCAAATACAGTAGATGTTTACTCCACACTGCGTTACAGAAAGACTCATTATATGTGACATCTCCATTACAGTAAACAATACCATGGATATTAATGGACAAATAATCTCCCTACTAGGATTAAATGCCCTGAGAAAAACAACTAAAATCCCATTTTCTCAAATAGTGCTGAGTGTATTATTTGTACGGTAAAGAATTACCTTATGCTACATTCAACTTTATAGTAGATGCTCTTATTAAAGTATAGCATAAGTACAAATGTTTGTAGGGTAAAAGGTTTTGTTCACAGCCACATCTGTGTAGCTATTTCCCCACTTTCTGTTTGAGATCAGGGACACATTGTTTAAAAGTCAAAAATAATTTCAAGTGGTTAACTTGCCACAGTTTTCATTGTAATCTGCGCTGTGCTGTAAGACAGGAAACTTTATTATCATCAATCTTTAAACCAGTGAGCGGTGTGTTTCAGGTTTCATTATTGCAATAAATGACTACATAAACTAACTTACTCAAAACCACAAACACAGAAAGTGAGAACAGATGCTTTACAGAACAGGTACATCTTTGTAATCAAAGTAGTCTTTGTAGTCTGCAAAACAGACTTCTTATTGGTCACTTTTGATCACCCTGTTGAAAAGAAGCAGGTAAGTTCAAAAGGACAACGATTTTTCTCATGCACTCGACACACACACACACACACACACACACACACACACACACACACACACACACACACACACACACACACACACACACACACACACACACACACACACACACACACACACACACACACACACACACACACACACACACACACACACACACACACACACACACACACACACACACACACACACACACACACACACACACACACACACACACACACACACACACACACACACACACACACACACACACACACACACACACACACACACACACACACACACACACACACACACACACACACACACACACACACTACTGTAGCATCAGTCTAGACTACATATAAACCGTCACAAGCTCCTAACCACACACTTTGCATCACACACTGCTGACAACAGCACACACACTCATCCAGATATCAGGTGATGACAGGTA